ACTAGCAGAAGCCACTTCAACCGTACTACCCGTACTAGACCAACCGCGTCAACACATTTGCACAAACTCGCCGCGAATCGGAGAATGTAGCAACTTTTGATTAGGAGATGAATCGTTTTGAAAACGAAAAATTGGTGCTCCCGTTTTTACTTTCACAAGATTTTTTCGAATTCCAAAACGAAAAAATTTGTCTTGCCTAAATGAAAAGTAAATGCCTTTTTCTATATTAAATCGGATCTTATTTGCAAAAGGAAAAAAGTAGTTGACTTATTGGTTTATTGTCGTTCTTTTAAGACCTCTAGAAGATCAATTAGGCTTGTAATTATTTTTAAAACGAGTAATTTCTGACCCCACCTCAAATTTGGATATCAAATTTTGCCGTCGGCAACAACAATTTTCGTTTTGGTGAACGACCGATAAGTCCGACACCATGAGTTATCGCCTAATCTGCCATACTTTTGATAGAATGAAAAAGCAAGTTAAAAATACTTGTATAATCAAACGGATGGCGATAATTTCGTTGAAATTTGGTAAAATATGTTTTTTAAAAATTAATTAAATTAATTTAATTAGTTATGTGCTAAAAGTGCATTGTTAAAAAAAAAAGTAAGAGCCACGCAATGAGCTCATTGAGCAACGATCAAAAGAACGAGCGTAGAAGTTCAGTGAACCAAAGAAACGGCTTCTACTCTTACTTTTCAATTCGCGATACCGAAGTGGAAAAATCGGCGATTATAAGCAACCTGGCTTTACTGGCCGTTGAAACCCAAAGGGCACGGTCTTGCTCACCCGCTCTGCTCACTCCGACTCCCGCGTCATGGAGTTCGCAGTGTAAAACCCCCCCTTCAATATCGGAAACAAATTTCGCACCAACAACTACCAGCGCTACAACTTCTGCAACAACAGCGAAAACCTCTGCAACTCAAAGTACCTCGACGTCAACGACTACAGCGAGTACAAAAACAACAACCTCGGAAAGTGCCAAAGCGGTGACGGCCACACAGACTGGAATGGATCGCTACATCCAAATTAAGCGCAAGCTTAGCCCGCAGAGTAATCCGGCAGGCAACAAAACAAAAATTAACCGTGTCCTGAATATCGATAAAGAACCAGACAGATCCACTACTAACAGATTTGCCCTACTGGCGGAGGCTGAGGAAAACCAACCAGCCCAAGACACCGAAAAAAAACCCAAGCCCCCTCCAATCTATATTAGGGAAAAAAGCTCGAATGCCCTGGTCAACAAAATTACGTCGTTGATCGGGAACGGTGACAACTTTCATGTTGTTCCGCTTATCAAAGGGAACATCCATGAAACAAAGGTGCAAACCAAGACTGAAGAGCACTTCCGAATCGTGTCCAAATATCTGGACACTGTACAGAAAAACTATTGCACGTACCAGATGAAAAGCAGTAAGGGCCTACAAGTGGTAGTAAAGGGAATAGAACCTGATGTTACTGCCGCGGAAATAAAAACCGCCCTTAAAGAAAAGGGCTTCGCCGCCAAGAATGTTATTAACATTCTAAATAAAGATAAAAAGCCACAACCCCTCTTCAAGGTCGAGCTCGAGCCAGAAAGCAGGTCGCTAAAGAAGAACGAAGTCCACCCAATCTAAAACCTGCAATATCTTTTGCATCGGAAAATCAACCAAAAGAGCCACATAAACGCAACGGTCCAGTGCAATGCACTAACTGTCAAGAGTATGGACACACAAGGTCTGGACACACGAGATCCTCATTCGGTCCACTAAACACCACCAACGGCTTCTCCTACGCCCATGCTCTACGATCTGGAAGGGAAATTCCAATTCAGCCTAACTCTCAAAGCGCTCAACAGGCCCCAGAACAGCCACACAGCAAAATGGAAACTATGATGCTTACCCTCCAACAAAGTATGATGGAGCTTATGTCATTCATGAAAACGACCATGCAAACGCTTGTTCAAAACCAGAACATGGTGATACAGCTGCTCGTAGCACAACAGTCTAAATAATCTATGCAGGCGCTACGAATATCAATGTGGAACGCCAATGGTGTCTCACGGCATAAACTAGAATTGTCACAATTCTTGACCGAAAACCATATTGACGTTATGCTACTGGTGGAAACGCATCTTACAAGCAAATACAACTTTCATATAAGAGGCTACACAATCTACCGCACAGATCATCCAGATGGGAAAGCCCACGGCGGAACTGGAGTTCTAATCAGAGAACGCATTAAACACCACTTTCACAAAAGGTTTGCAACAAACTTCAAGCAACGGAATCTTCTCAATCGCTGCCGTTTACTGCCCTCCTCGTTTCTCAATCTCGGAGGGACAATTTATCGACTTCTACAATTCACTTGGGGATCGATTTATAGCCGCAGGAGACTACAACGCAAAACATACACACTGGGGATCACGTCTAGTGACTCCCAAAGGAAGACAATTGTGCAATGCAATTATAAATGTGAAAAATAAACTGGACTACGTTTCCCCTGGAAGTCCCACATACTGGCCAACAGACTCACAAAAGCTCCCAGACCTTATTGATTTTGCAGTGACAAAAAACATACCTCGCAATCTAATAAGTGCCAAAGCAATATGCCAAAGCATACTCGTTGCGGCAGTTAAAATCTCTACTCCCCATGGTAAGGAAGTAGACTGAAACAAATACTACATATCCAATCAGAAAATCGAACTGCTCGTGCGAGAAAAGAAGCGCACGCGTTGTAATTGGCAAAACAGCAGATCACCAGCTTCAAAACAACGCCTTAAGGAAGCAACCCGATCACTCGACCAGGCTCTTCACCAACAGGAAGAAAATGCAAAGCTAAGGTACATCCAGAATTTCTCGCCAAAAAGCACAAAGTAGCACCTTCCCCTGGGGAGGACCCACCCAAATCTTAGCGCCCCAATTGAAACGACCACCCCGATAAGAAACTCTTCGGGATGCTGGGCTCGCAGCGACAAAGACCGAGGTGAAACATTTGCCACACATCTCCAAAGTGTCTTCCAGCCATACCCAGCCTCAAATTCATTCCTTCTGCCAGTAATTCAGCCAGAGTCCTCCCCTCAGCCAGCCGCACCTTTATTCCGGCCGAACGAAATCGAAAAAGTCATAAGAGGGCTAAAACCAAAAAAGGCTCCCGGTGGTGACCTATTGACCCCAAAGATGCTGATCGAACTCCCAAAATGCGCTATAGAGGTCGTCTGCAAACTATTTAATGGAATCATTAATCTTGGCTATTTCCCAAAAAAGTGGAAGAAATCCATCATTATAATGATACCCAAGCCTGGAAAAGACCACACAATTCCGTCATCATACAGACCAATAAGCCTTCTATCTTGTTTGTATAAATTGTTTGAAAAATGCTTGTTAACTCGCATAATACCACATCTGGAAGCTTGCAATATTATCCCGGCATACCAAGAAGTGAACAGATTAACATCCGAAATACGCTCAGCCTTCGAACAGCGAGAATACTGCAGCGCTATTTTCCTCGACGTATCTCAAGCTTTCGACCGAGTTTGGCTCATCGGACTCATGCACAAAATTAAAACGTATTTGCCAACATACACCCACAAGCTACTGGAATCATACCTCTACAATAGAGTATTCTCAGTGAGATGCAACTCAGCTACTTCGGGCGACTACACCATCGAAGCTGGAGTTCCACAAGGAAGGGCACTCGGCCCGTGTCTATATGTTTTGTATACTGTGGATATTCCTACGAGCGCACAACTAACAACCTCAACGTTCGCCGACGATACCGCTATCCTTAGTCACTCCAGATGCCCAATGCAGGCAACAACCCAACTGGCTAATCATCTCACAATAGTGGAAAGGTGGCTGTCCGACTGGCGCATTAAAATAAACGAACAAAAGTGTAAACATATAACGTTTACTCTTAATAGCCAAACATGCCCTCCGCATTTACTAAACGGTATGCAGATCCCTCAAGCTAACGACGTAACGTACCTTGGCGTTCACCTTGAAAGACGACTTACCTGGCGCAAGCACATCGAATGCAAAAAGATGCACCTAAAACTGAAAGCCAGCAGCCTCTACTGGATCATAAACTCACGATCGCCACTGTGCCTGGACTACAAGGTACTACTGTACAATTTAGTCCTAAAGCCAATCTGGACGTATGGCTCCCAGCTGTGGGGGAACGCGAGCAGCAGCAACATAGACATCATACAGCGCGCACAATCAAAAATCTTGAGAACTATCACAGAGGCACCTTGGTATGTTCGCAACGAAAAAATCCACCGGGATCTGGGCATCCTCGCAGTGAAAGACGAAATCCAGAAGCAAAAAGAGTCATACAAAGAAAAACTGTCATCGCATCCAAATTTTCTCGCTCGGGGATTGACTCGGGTTTCTAGCGTATCCCGCCTTAGACGCAACGACCTCCCAACCCAGCAATCGATTTTTAGGGCCGTCTAACTCCGTATCAGTCAATATGACTGTTAGTTTAGTTAATAATATAAGATTTGATACACCTCTTGTTAGTCTCGCAAAGAGAAGATTCAAGAAATAAAAGCAACGTTAAAAAAAAAAAAAAAAAAGTGTATAAAAAAAATTGTTGGAAACACCGGAATGAAATGAAAATAAAATCCATTGAAATGGTTGCATCCCCTTAGCTTGGATTTTCCCCTTAATTCTTTTGGCTACGAAAGATGCAATTGAATATTAAAAAGGCATTTTTTCGCGTTGTTTGCTGCTGACCAAACCTCAAATCAGCTGTTTCGGCAGCAAAAAGTTATGAGAAATGAAACGTTTCGATAGCAAAACGATAACTAAAAACTTGTGAAAACCGGAGCACCTTATAACGAAAATCTCGGTTTTTGTTCCAAAACGAAAACGAAAACCGAAAGTGAAAACCGGAGCATGCCTGTATATTTGTATTTGTTTACTTATTTTATATAAATATCTCAATTATATCATACAGTTCATTTATCCCAGTTTGTATTACATTATAATTAGTTACATATCGACATGCTTTCACCTTGACATGAAATTAACTCAAATTTGTGAAGTTACCTTAACATAAAGTACTCTAAAATTGAAAACCCAGAATTAACCAGGATTCCGAAATGTTTCAAAGATCAGTGGGAATTTTTAATAAAGCGAAATCAGTTAATTGGAATTATTCGCAAATACTATCTTTAAAACCAAATGTCGGCATTCAGTACCTGTTGTGTTTACGTAACACTAGCTTTTTCAACAAGCGTGAGTTATATAAAGTTCAAATGTACATATTCAGATGTATGACATCAAATGCACACACAAAATATTGGATAAGGCTAATTCGTGTGTTTTTTTTTTAATTTACGACAAGTAGTCAGTTTAATTGTTTTAAAAATTTTTATGTCGAAATTTTACTAACAAAAATACATACATATTTAAAAGCGAGGAAGTACGGCCTCGATAAGAAAAATTGTATTTAAATAATTTATTCATAACGTTTTCGGTACTTAGGAACGATTTATTCTTGATCTAGATTCTAGAATCTAGAACCTTTTAGTATATAGTAAATTGAAAAATAAAAAAACCTAGTTATGTACATGACTAGGTAGTTTTGTATAAAACGTTTATTTGTACATACATATGTATGTATAAACATGGACATAATTTTTATATGATTAAGGTACTACATTTTGGAATATTGTATACTGGGGTGCAACACCTTTAGCTTCAACACCAATTGTACCACTGTAGCACATTCTGATTTATAACAAGAAAGGAACGCTAACTTCGGGCGAAGCCGAAGTTTATATACCCTTGCAGTTAAAACCAGATATATATCGCAAACATCGGATATAGTTGGCCGATCCTTATGGGAATAGGAATATATAATCCAATTTATTACAATACAAAATCTAAAAAACGTCCCAAACTTCTATCTTCAAAAATACGAAAGTTGATATTTCTACCAAATACCATTTCCGATCGTTCAGTTATATGGAAGCTATGGGATATAGTCGGCCGATCCTAATGAAATTTGGTAGGTTGGATCAACTGACCAAGAATTAAATCTGTACTAAGTTCCAGCTTTCTATCTGCAAAAACACGAAAGTTGGGTCATGTCCGATCGTTCAGTTATATGGCAGCTATAGGATATAGTCGGCCGATCCTTATGAAATTTGGCATGACGTAATGTTTTGCCAAAAATAGCTCTCATGTCAAATTTGAACTCTAAAAACACCAAAGTTATACCATTTCCGATCAATCAGTTATATGGCAGCTATAGGATATAGTCGGCCGATCCGGGCCGTTCCGACTTAAATACTGCGTGCAAAGGAAAGAAGGGTGTGTGCAAAGTTTCAAGACGATAGCTTTAAAACTGAGAGACTAGTTCGCGTAGAAACAGACAGACGGACAGACAGACAGACAGACGGACATGCTCATATCAACTCAGGAGGTGATCCTGATCAAGAATATATATACTTTATAGGGTCGGAGATGTCTCCTTCACTGCGTTGCACACTTTTGGAAAAAATTATAATACCCTCTGCAAGGGTATAAAAATCGAAAATCGTATACCTTAAAAAAGTACATTTTTTGTTAAAACCGTCGCCATTTTTTTTTAGATCAAAATTTTTAAAAATCCCTCGTTCACGGACTAGACAATACAATATACTAACTCAATTTTTTTGAATTTTTGATGAACCGTTTTCGGGATATCATGTCCACCGCAAGACACCATCGAAAAAAGACGATCCGGGAATTCGGCTATAACATTTTTATTATGTAATCTTTTTTTTATGAAAAAATTTAATGAAGTACCCAGAAACATGTACTAAACAACGTCGGTAAAATATTTTTCATAAATATTTTCTATGGTGTCAAAAAAAAATCGATAAAATTCAATTTTTTTGCACGGCATAACTGTATATAACCCTTAAGGGGACCCCCCCCATTCTCGATTTTAAATTTTGACGATTTTCAATGGGCTGGCAAATGAACATAAATTATTTTTTAGGGTTGTAACTGTGCTTACATATATTAAGACACAAAAAGGAAGAAAATCATTTCACAGAATTTTTTTTTGTTTTGTTTTTGTTGTTGTTTTTTGTGATCAAAGAAAAGCCCTTCTTTTCGGCGGCGCATGTGATTTCCGCTCACTGGAACATCTGAATCCAAAAATTCCAACGGGATTAGAAAAAGTACATGTTTGGCTCTCGTATGAACTAGGATTATTAACTTCGCTCAAAAATTAACAAAATGGTGGACCTTTGAAATTTTTTTTTGGAAATTTCCATTTTTTTCAGCCACAAATCGAGTTGAAAAGTAAGCAAGATCTTCACCGATTCGATTTATCCTAGTTCATACGAGAGCTATATATGTATAGAATAACGTGTTAAAATTTGGAACCGATTGTATTAATAGTTTTTGAGTAACCTCATGCGCCAGTCGTAAAAACACTGTTTCGAGAAAAACGCGTTTTAAGGATGTAGTCTCATGTGTGAGGTTGAAAAAATCGATTTTTTTTTTCAAATATTTCGATAGTGTTGTTTATTAAGAATGTACTGTTAAAGTTTCAAATAAAAATATCAAATGACAGAGATATAGCCCATAATCGAGAGCGCGCCTACACCGAAAAGTATGAGTTTCTCGGTAGCGTCTAAACTTTAAACGCATTTTTCTCGGAACGACATTTTTGTGTGCGGCGCAGGTGATTCACAAAATTCTATGGTACCGATCTAGCTGAAATTTGGATATGTTGTTCTTAAAAGTAGCACCTCTGTCCCGTACTAGAATCATTTATTTTTAACTATTAGTTTTTTTTTTATCATTAATTTAAGATAAATTTTTTAAATTAAAAAAAAATTGTTTTTGTGTGTTTGCCATTTTGTTGTTTATTGATGAAAATATTTCATTCTAGTACGGGACAGAGCCATAAGCTTACAAATCAATAATCTATTCTAATTTTTTGTTTCGGATGACTCTAGCAGTCGAAACCACCGACTTTTTTTATATGCATACTTTGGCATGCTATAAAGTGTATTAAACTACACAAGAACAAATTAAACAAAATATTTTCAAATAGTTTATGATGCTTATAAAAACATATGTGAAAATTGAAACGATCGCATTATTTTTTATTACAAAAAAAATTTTTTGAAATAACCTTTAAAAAGTAGGCCGGAACATGAGACTACATCCTTAAGTTTTGAGACGGCTCTCGCCGTCGCCTGAGACTTCCACCATAAATCGGCTATATCTTCAAGAGTTTTTGAAATTTTTACTTGAAATTTTCAGGGAACATTCTTGAATAGTTACAAGTTCGAATTAAATTTAAAAAAAAAATCGATTTTTTAAAACCGAGAATGGGGGGGGTCCCCTTAAGTTCGTAACCTGGGGAGGCCAAGCTCTGCATACGGCAGATTAAACTCCCAACTAGAGGTGGGCACGATCCGGGATTTTTTCGTGGCCCGCGGGCTTACACAGGCCCGGAGCGGGCCCGGGCCTTAAAATTAAGATTCGTGCGGGCTTCGCGCAAAACGCCTTTGCAAAACGGCCCGGCCCGTAAAAACCCGAAATAGGCCTTAAAACAATTTTTATTTGACCGCGCTATTTTTTTTTATTCTTTTTTGTATTTTAATTGCTTATCGATGTTACTATCGATTTGCTTAAACAATATTTTACTTGTTTGCACACCACTATTTAAAATTTGGCGTCCTATTGTAAAATTCATAAACTTTGAAAAATAAAATAAAAATAAAAACATGAATTAGGATTAATAAATATGAACTTATATATATGTATACATAAATAACATGTCTTTTAAATTTTGAAATATGTTTTAATAAGTTTCGTGCCGGGTCGGGCCGGGCCCGGGCCTTGATGAAAAAGTTTCGTTTTCGGCCGGGCCGGGCCTCTCAAAAAAGATTTTGTTTTCGTGCGGGCCCGGGCCCCAAAATACAGGCCCGTGCCCACCTCTACTCCCAACCAATGCTAAAAATTACCAATACATTGGCGCGAGAATTTTTGCAAATTATAGTTACATTCACAAGAGGTTAAAATAAATAAAAAAAATGTTAATAAAATAATAGAAGTAATTAAAATTCATTAAAATAAAAAAAAATTATAGTTAAAAAAAAGCCCTCCGTTTTTTACAACAGCTTATTATTATACTATTACAATTAATGCAGAGCTACTTAAAAAATAATCTGCGAAAAGAATGAATGAATTTTAAAAACAAGAATGAATATCTTGCAGTTAAAAGTTTTTGGCAAACCAACAACAAAATGCATTCGGATTAGCACGATTAAGAAGAGAAGGGAAACACACAAAAATTGTTATTGTAATTGTAACAAAAGAGCATTTTTCAGCACCCCTGTTGTATACCAAGAAGGATTTGTTGAGGCGAACGGATATTTCCATGGCACATATGAGTCAAAACAAGAAAGGAAAGCTAACTTCGGGCGGAGCCGATGTTTATATACCCTTGCAGTTAAAACCGGATATATATCGCAAACATCGGATATAGTTGGCCGATCCTTATGGGAATAGGAATATATAATCCAATTTATTACAATACAAAATCTAAAAAACGTCCCAAACTTCTATCTTTAAAAATATGAAAGTTGATATTTCTACCAAATACCATTTCCGATCGTTCAGTTATATGGCAGCTATGGGATATAGTCGGCCGATTCTAATGAAATTTGGTAGGTTGGATCAACTGACTAAAAATAGAATCTGTATTAAATTCCAGCTTTCTATCTTCAAAAACACGAAAGTTGGGTAATTTCCGATCGTTCAGTTATATGGATATAGTCGGCCGATCCTTATGAAATTTGGTACGACGTAATGTTTTGCCAAAAATAGCTCTCATGTCAAATTTAATTTCTAACTCTAAAAACACCAGAGTTATACCATTTCCGATCAATCAGTTATATGGCAGCTATAGGATATAGTCGGCCGATACGGGCCGTTCCGACTTATATACTGCGTGCAAAGGAAAGAAGGGTGTGTGCAAAGTTTCAAGACGATACCTTTAAAACTGAGAGACTAGTTCGCGTAGAAACAGACAGACAGACGGACAGACGGACATGCTCATATCAACTCAGGAGGTGATCCTGATCAAGAATATATATACTTTATAGGGTCGGAGATGTCTCCTTCACTGCGTTGCACACTTTTGACCAAAATTATAATACCCTCTGCAAGGGTATAAAAATGTATTTAAAGCAGTGGGTGGCAAAACGCACACATGTTTAAAA